GTCATGGCCAGCCTGAAGTGAGCAGGATACAGCATCGAAATAGTAGACAGACTGAGTTCGTCATCAAGAGCCAGATTTGCCACAGAATAATATCGCCGATCACAGCTGTCTATTCTTTCCTTTGCTTGGATTCTCTAAATAAATCTACATTATTATACTGATGAATCTGTGGCAGACACCCTTAAAGATCATGGGATGTCCCTCCTACAGGCCACACGACTTGCTGCAGACAGACACCTGTGTCTCCCCGCGACACCCCAGGGTACAAGCGGAAGAAAAAAAGTAAAGTTATACTGATCTTTCCCCGTCACCCACCTCTTTAGGCTCTCCAAGTTGGTTGCTCTGAGTCTACCCCTGCCTCATTTGCCCTCTTTTAGCCAGTAAGAGCTGGAATTCCAAGATCATTATGTCTATTCATTTGAATTCCTGCATGTGGTTGAATGATGCATTTGATGTAAATGTACATTTTGTCAGCTTTACTTCTCGTTTCATATTGAATTTTAATGAGAGTAATATATATAATTTAAATGTTTTACGTATACTTGCATGTGTTTTTACGGTCCTGTACAGCCAAGGAAAAATTCCCTCTGGGATAATAAAGTACTATCTTATCTTACCTTTTCTTATCTTATCTTATCTTATTCAAGTGTAACTGAAACTGCCTAATTTGTCTTTTTCTACTTGATTTTTTTTTAAATCAGCGAGCGGCCCATGTGAGCTTCTTCGAGAATTACCTCCACAACGAATTCTCAAGCACAAGCTCATTAATTGATTTCTTTTCTTTCTACCAATCTCAGCAATCTCCTCACATACCAAATTTCAGTAAGCCTAAGATACTCGTTTAGAAACATAATTATTTTAGCATGGTCATAATATAGGAGATGGATATAAACATTCGGACGTTCCCATCTCTTAAATAACATTACTAGGTTGTAAGGGACGATAAACCTTTAAAGGGGGGCTCTCGTGGCCTAGAGGTTAAGGTGTTTGCCTTTCATTCAAAGGTCCCGGGTTCGAATCCGGGTAGGGACCGAAAAAATTTTCTTCTCTAAAATTGTCTCCTTTCACCTTCTTTCCTGCTCTCTAACAATGTTCTGTTGTCTGCTTTCATTTTCACTTTCTGCCCCCACCCCCTCACTTCCTTTGCCCCCTCCTCTGGGCTCCTGACTCTTTCTGCAGCCTTTCTACTGCTACTCCTTCGCTTCTTCTTACTGCTGTCTTTCACCCACACCCCTGATCTTCTGGTAGGAAAGATCTACACTTAGCCTTCTCGGATAGGGCGAAAAATCTCGGAGGGCCCGCGTGTAAGTTGCGCACGTTAAAGATCCCTTGGTGATCTAAAATCGATAAGAGTAGGCTTCGGCCGCCACCTAGGCAAAATTCAAAATTTCGTACCAACTGAAAATATTAGGTGTGTCCCGCGCGCTCATATGACATTATGTAGTTGCGAGCGCCGTAAAACACTTTACAAAAAAAAAAAAATCCTTTAAAATTTCCCCTATTTAATACATGAATATGCCGTAGGCGTGAGCGTGTAAGATGAAACACATCTCCGCTTTCAAGCTTACATTATAATTATAAATGGTCAAAGAGAAATCTCTTACGTAAAATAGGCAGATTTAGTTGAGCGCATTGTCCTGATCTTTAGATGAATTTCTATCAGATCAGTACCCAGTTTTGAGAAATTTGACGTCAAACGTTTTGAGTTTCACATTACGTCAAGCTATTTCGAAATCAATTCTTTGGACATTTCGATAACGACTAGGAATAATCGTACGACTTTTATAGAGGAGATAGAACATTTATTGATTTCTTTTTCTTCTTCTTCTATCCCGTGGTTGGGGCACCACTGCATTGGAAAACCAGCTCTCGCCATCTATTTTTGTCCTCTGCTCTCCTCAGATTGTCACCCATCAGCTTTCCTGTCCACTCTTTAATGTTGTCCTCCCATCTCCTTCTCTGCCTTCCTTTCTTTCTCTTTCCTTGTGCGGTTCCTTGCAGGATTGTTTTGGCAAGTCCTGTG